TTTTAGTTTCTGTGGCAGCAAATCGAAATTGCATGCATATTTCATTATTCAATTAGTCTGTGCTATACAAAATTTGCGAGGGATGGAATTGTTTTTAACGCTAAACTAAACAACAATTCTATTACGTGTTTGAAATGGATAGATGCATGGACCACATCAGAACCTTTTGTTCAATCCAAGGCCTCAAAAAGGGCGTGAATAATTATGAAATTTGAAACTTTCAAAGGTGGATAAAAATGAAGCATGTATATTATGAACAAGCATTCCTATTATGAATTTATGATGTGGCTTGAGGATGATGAGTTGCCCACCAAATGGAAAATAAATTTCTCTAAGTTCTCATCTTCAATATTTCTATAAGTGAATAGTATTTTTGTTATTGCTAGTAATTTGAATGGCAAACTGACCAAGTAGTTATGTTGTAATTACTAGCATTCCTATTATACTAATAACGTACTAACTAGGATAAGACCCGCGTCTTGCGCGGGATGAAGCTATTATTTTTATTATGTTTTGAAAAATGAAACAATAGTTCGGTTTCATTCGGATTATATGTGCTCAATCCGGATATCGGGTTTCGGTTCGGCTCAATTTTTTGTCCGATTTTTTGGTATTTCGATCATTAAAATATAATTACTATTCTAAATCTATATGTACTATAGTTTGATTTGGTTTATATACCATCGGTTTTCAGTTTATTCAATTTTATACCAAAAAACATAATTATTTAGTTTGAGATCATATTATATATTATACAAATATATAATATGATCATATTTAGAGTCATATTGCCACAGGGTCATTTATTAAAAAAATATTATATATTTAAATAAAAGAAAAAAACAAAAAGACTTCTATCATCTAATAAAATGATCAAATCTAGAATTAATATCAAAAGACTAAATTTTGAAAAAAAAAAAAACAGAAGCATGAAAGAAAAGTTTTTATATTCTTCCATATTTAGTGTTCATCAAACCAATATGTCTTTGATTGAACACAACTCTGTTTGTTTAAAGATAAAAAAAATTGTAAAGAATTTCAACTAATTGTTGTCCATCAAATTTATAATCTTTACTTCAATTTAGTTACTGTTAAAAAAGCAAAAGAT